ACTTAAATGTAAAACCCAAAACTATGATACTACTAGATGAAAACATAGGGGAAATGCTTCATGACATGGGGCCAGGCAAGAATTTTTTTAAATAAAACTTCAAAAGCACAGGCTACAAAAGCAACAACAGACCAACAGGATGATATCAAACTAAAAAGCTTTTTTACACAGCAAAGGAAATTATTAACATAGTGAAGAGACAATCTACAGAATGGGAAAAAATATTTGCAACTACACATCTGACAAAGGACTAATATCCAGAACATATAAGGAACTTAAACAACTCAACAGCAAAAAAAAAAATTAATCTGATTAAAAAATGGACAAAAGAGGGCCGACCCTGTGCCTCACTCGGGAGAGTACAGTGCTGGGAGCACAGCGGCGCTGGGAGCGCCAAGGCCGTGGGTTCGGATCCTATATAGGGATGGCCGGTGCACTCACTGGCTGAGCGTGGTGTAGGCGACACCAAGCCAAGGGTCACGATCCCCTTACTGGTCACAAAAAAAAATTTTTTTTTTTTTAAATGGACAAAAGACCTTAATAAACATTTCTCAAAAGAGGTTAATTGTTTTTCATGAAAAAAAATGCTCAACATCTCTAATCATCAGGAAAATGCAAATCAAAACCACAATCAGATATTAAATGGACAAAAGACCTTAATAAACATTTCTCAAAAGAGGTTAATTGTTTTTCATGAAAAAAAAATGCTCAACATCTCTAATCATCAGGAAAATGCAAATCAAAACCACAATCAGATATCACCTCACATCTGTCTGAATGGCTATTATCAAAAAGACAAAAGATAGCAGCATTGGTGAGGAGGTAGAAAAAAAGAAACACTTGTACACTGTTGGTGGGGGTATAAACTAGTACAGCCATTATGGAAAACAGTATGGAAGTCCTCCAACATATAAAAATTGAACTACCATATATTCTGGCAATCCCACTACTGGGAAATGAAGGGAAATGGAATCAGTATGTTGAAGAGATATCCGCACTCCCATGCTTTTTCCAGCACTATTTACAATAAACAAGATAGGGAATCAACTTAAGTGTTCAACAACAGATGAATGGATAAAGAAAATGTGGTATATATACATAATGAAATACTATTCAGCCATAAAAAATGAGTTAAATCTTGTCATTTGCAGCAACAGGGATGGGCCTGGAGGATATTATATTAAGTGAAATAATCCAGGCACAAAAAAATACTAGATGATCTCACTCACAGTGGAATCTAAAAACAAAAAACATAAAACACGTTATTATAGAGGCAGAGTGTAGAACAGTGGTTACCAGAAACTGAGAAGAGAAGGAGAGGTGAGAAGGGAGAATGGGATGAGGTTAGTCATAATAACCATTAGACAGGAGCAATAAGTTCTGGTATTCTATTGCACAGTACAGTGACTATGGTTAACACTAAAGTACCATATATTACAAAATAACTATAAGAGAGGCTTTGAGTGTTCTCACCACAAAGAAGTGACAAAAGCATGAGGTGATGAGCACACTAACTACCCTGACTCAATCATTATACAACACATACAAGGGTTCTACAAAAAGTTCGTGGAAAAATAGAATTGAAAGATAATACGAATCTTTCTGAAGTACCCTCATATATGTGTGTATCAAAACTTCAAATTGTACACCATAAAAATGTAGAAGTACAATGTTCCAATTAAAAAAAATACATAAAACTGTTGAAAAGCAGCAATGCATCAATAAGCTGGGCTTCAAGTTAGAGGAATATAATTTAATAATTCTATGGAGAACTGATATATAGCTTCAAAACAACTTACAATTCAGCTTTTTCTGCCATACGGATGAGCCGACTCTCTTCAAATTGAACTATGCCTCCAGCCTGTAGCAATTCTAAAAGGACCTAAATATTTAAAATAAATGAGTACAAACACTTTGGAATTTATTTCTATTTACTACCTCTTTAATAGTCCATTCAGCCATGCAGACCATTACTAATATATTTTTCCTTTTTTATTCTTACTTAATGATATTTTGGCTTGTTTTCACATATGAGTATGCAAGGGTAGTTAGACCACCATTATGATGTTGATCATATTGTGTTTAAGTCTTATAAAAAGATAAATGGCTCTGCTTTTGAAACATGTAAGGAATGCCACAGTGTTTGCAAATAAAGCCATGTTAGAATTCTGAACTGACCCTCCACTAAGCTAAAAATGTCTGTATACATCGTTTCAAGAACTGAATTTTTGTCTGGCACTTTTATGTCTTATAGTTCCTTATAAAATCTATTGTCCACAGGTAGTATCCATGTTTACATGTTAATTTTTAAAAATTAAACACTGGGGTTTTTCATAGCAGCACTATTCAAAATAGCCAAAAGGTAGGAACAATACAAATGTTCTTTAACAGATGAACGAATAAACAAAATGTGGTATATACATACAATGAAATATTATTCAGACTTAAGAGACAAAACTCTGACATGTGCTATAACATGGATGAACCTTAAAGACACTATGTTAAGTGAAATAAGTCGAACACAAAAGGACAAATAGTGTATGACTGCATTTATATGAGGTACCTACTAGAGTAGTCAAATTCATTGAGACAGAAAGTAGAATGGTTATTGTCAGGGACTGGGGGAGGGGAGAATTGGGAGTTATTGTTCAATGGGTATGGCAATTCAGGTTGAGAAGATGAGAAAGTTCTGGAGATGGATGAGGATGATGACTGCACAATAATGTGAATGCCACTGAGCTGTATGTGCACTGAAAAATGGTTTTATGTTAAGTGCACTTTACCTCAATAAAAAACATTACCTCAATAAAAAAAAAAATTGGGACTCGTATAATTAATTTTTACTGCACTAAGTAGCTGAATAAAAAAGGTAACTAGGATATTGAGCTGGATTCATCAATATTTTTAAATTAACTTTAAAAAACATAATGAAGTCATTACATAGTCATTAAAACAATACATGAATGCTCTCTCCTGCATTTAAACTCAGGATCCAGAGAAACACAAACCTTCTCAGAATTCCAGGAAACTATTCAACAAGGTATTTTTTACACAGTAAATTGATTATTTCTAAGTTAAAAAAAGAAAAGAATAACTAAAAGCTATTGAAACCATACATTTCAGACCCAAATTTAATCCGTTTGAGCACTATAATGTACTGTTATATAGAATAAATATGGAATGAATCCCATCTGTTGTAAGCCTCAATTTGGAATAATGTAATAAAAATGCCATTGCTGGAGCCAGTCATATCAACTCACCAAAGCTGACTGTTAAATTTTCAGGAATTTTGCAATCCTGTTTTTAAACGCAGCCATTATTAAAATTAAATTATATAAATTTACAACTAAATAAATTTTTTTAAAAGATAAATTAATATTCAAAATTCACTACTTCTTAATTATCTTACTATATTTTACTATTATATATGCTCTTGAGGTCACTAACATTTACTGTAATTGTATTTGTATGGTGGAAATATTAGAAAAGGGTGTGCTTCTTTGTATCTCTTCCCAACTCCACATTCAGTGACATCACATTGGTATGTTAAATCAGCCATGCTAGGAATACTTACACCGTGGAAATTGGCAAATGCTATAAATCAGAAAAATGCTATAAAAATGTTACATTTTTAAAGGGTTGTAAAACAAAAAATAGTATGAGACAGAGACCACAGGTGGCCCACAAAGCCTAAAATATTTATTCTTTGGCTTTTTTTGGAGAAAGTTTGCCAATCCCTGGTTAAGAAAGTAATGTATAAAACACTGATAAGGCAATTAAACTTAAGTGTGTATGTCTATAGTCATTACATTGTGAAGAGTACAAATATTGAGGAATTATTTTTCCAGTATTCCAAAACTGAGATCTTATTCAATAAAGAAGTCACTTCAGTGATGTATGAGTGAAGTTCTGACAGGTTTTCATTGTACTTTTGTCTTATTATTTACATACCTGAAACTATCGACCATCATTTATATCAGAACTATACCTGGGGAGCTAGTTGTTAAACACTTATCAGCATACTACTGGGAAATATTCAAAAATACTGCATAAACAAATTTTGATATACAAAAAATGATGCAGAGTGTTGGATTAAAAGAAAAGAAACTGGGTTCTAATCTTGTTACTTTGTGCAACTTACTTCAGTTTTCTATATGTCTAAAATGAGAAGGGGGGAAAAACTAGATAATCTCAAAGGGGGTGCTCAGTAGTATCATATTAATATATCATGATTACTTTTCAAGGTTTGGCTTTTACATTTAGATTTGATTTTTCTTTCTGTTTAATTTGTTTATTTGTATTAAAAGTTTTTATCATTTTATATAGAAATACTATGCATTCCATGATCCACACTTATGCCAATAGAAAAACAGGGACAAAATGCTCCACATTACTATTTGTATTCAATGTAATTTAAGAAATAACCAAAATTTTAGCAGGTGTTCTCTTTCCTAAAAATAGTGTGCAGCAGTCACTGAGCCATAGCTGTGTGGGGAAAGGGCTCACAGTTGCTATAGAATGGTCTTTATCTAAGTCTCAACTTCCCAGCTATGCACTATTACCATAAAAAATCAGCAGAGCTCACAAAGTACTTAATTTCTGCAATTTACTTACCTGACAAAGCCTGGCTATCAATTTTAAATGGGGTGACTCTCTTATTGCTCACAATTTCAATGGGTAAGCTTTTAAAGAATCCTAATCCTAGAAGAAACCCTCAAGAAAGGGAAGATAAATATAAAGATGTAATCAAACAGTTACCATCTCACAATGATTAGTGGAAGGACAGATGGATTCTAGTCTCCAGAACGGTCAGTCCTAATGCAGTGGGGCTTTAGGGTACTCCCGAAAGTTGAAGGTGCCAGTGCTCAGAATCCTGCAGACTTTCTGGTTCAGAGTCACAGCAGTCACCACATTAATGACACTGATGGAATGCAGGGTATAACAGGTGCTAAACATTGCTACATAATGGAGAAGATGAAGTATTCTCTTTGATGTCATGCTGTGATGCAAGACAGGTCCAGTCTACTTAGGAATTTAGTTTGACATAAACTCCTTATACATGTACTTCTAATAACCACCTGCAGTATTTTCTGGTTGCCACTGTCTTTGGCTTAGTATTAGGGTTTGGCACAAGTCATTTCCCTCCCATATTTAGTGAGGTCTAATATCTACAACAGAAGAGTTCTTTCTGGCTTATTCTGTCTTCTTTCCTGTTTTGTAGCAAAGAGTTCTAGTAGTTCATACCTGCTGTCTTTCAGAGTGTCGAGAGTCATCATCAGGACTACAGAGGAATTCAAGGACCTGATCAAAGAAACAATATTTTTTACTTGATACCAGCAATGAAAACATCCTTTCAATACCACCAATTCATTCACATAGTTCATACCTGCTGTCTTTCAGAGTGTCGAGAGTCATCATCAGGACTACAGAGGAATTCAAGGACCTGATCAAAGAAAAAATATTTTTTACTTGATACCAGCAATGAAAACATCCTTTCAATACCACCAATTCATTCACATTTAGCCATAACAAATACCACAGGTATATGGTAACTTCCCAACTACTTGGCCTAGTGCATGAAACATCAGGCTCAGGTATGCTAAAAATTTATACACACATTTCTTTACTGTTTAGAAACATAACTAGAAGGCAGTATCACCTATATACCTTAACTTTAAGTTCCCTGATACCATGGACCAAGCAAAGAATGGACTTAGAAGTCAGGCCCCTTGAATTTGAATCCTAACCTTATTAACACTTAATAATAACACTTAATGCTAATCATAACACTTACTGTATGACCTTGGATGGGTTACTTAACCTCTCCAGGCATTAGTTTCCTCATCTCTAAAATGGGAATAATTATACCTATTTCACAGCTGTTGGGAAGATTGAGTTAACATATACATATAGAGCTTTGGAAAAATGCCTGGCATTATGAAGTGCTCAGTAAAGGCTAGTCATTATGAGCTTCTTTCTCCAGAAAAAAAAGTATTTTCTTTGCTACCTATGGATAGACGGAAGATATTTAACTGGGATTAGGAGATACCTTCGGAGTCAAAGTCATTTGTAAGTAAATCCAGATTTACCAAAAGTAATCTCTTCACCAGATTGTCATCATAGTGTTACTACCACTGAGATGGGGTGATTCTTAAACTGGAAAATTCTTGAGCAAAGAATTCTAAGCAATTCACAGCAACAGAATAATTGAGAGAACGGAATCCCTATAAACTAATCTCCACAAACAACACTCCCATGATACCAGGATACTAGGCAAAGTTATACTACCCAGAATGCATCATGAAAACACACACACACACACACACACACACACACACCAATTTAGATCCCAAACCTAAACAAGTCCCTCCTTTATAAGACACTTATCCAACAATCTATCATATTAAGCATCAGTGTAATCCAGTGAATTTTCTATGAACAATAAACAAAGGAAAAACAACTCTAGTTCTCATTGTTGAAGACACTTACCTGATCAAAAAGTGTTCTGTTTACAAACAAGGTATTGTCAGGCTTTGCAAGCTGCCGAGCAAGGAACGTAAAAAGACACCCTACTTGCGAGGGAGTAAAATCTGAATTCTCTACCATAACCTGATGGGCAAAAGAGACCATTTATTAAATAATCCATCTGGTTTGATGCAAAAAAATATACAATTAGAAGGAAGGGTCAGCCTCATCACTGAAGACTCATGAAAACATTCTTTTATTGACTGTGCAACAATTATGTTCAATACCATTTAGAGAAGGAGCACAACTACTTGCATACTCTCAAAGGAAAACATTTTAGTGATTTTTGGCATATTTCTAACACAACTTGGATGAGAACTGAATTGATAGAGGTGGATATAGGATTTCAAAGAAATATTAATCACGTTTTCTTCTGGATTCTTAGAGAATTCTACGAAAATTAAATTCTAATTAAATTTAAATAATCCTACTAAAAATCTGGCCATCAACAAGGGAAGAGAGAGCTGCTTTGGAGTTTAAAAGTAAGATAACCTGAGAGTGAAGGTACCCCAGAAAAGAAGTCAGCTATTATATGCATCAATGAAGTAAATGGCTTCTGCCTTGTCTACAAGCAGTTCCTTTGAATAGATGGTTTTGCATAATAGATTTTTTACAGTCACACATGGTTATGAAATCATAGTTATTCCCTCTACTTTAACTCAGCTCTCATCTCCTGAGTACCACACTGTGTAAGATGCTATGGTTGGTGCCTTTAAGGGAATTACGAACTGGAAAGGAAGGAGAAACAGGTAAACAAAACTTAAATAAAATGCAGTGCTATTTTAAAGGCACAAATGATTAGGAAAGTGTAGTGGACAAAATTTACTTCAACTGGTTAAAGAGGGAATTTGAAAAAAAAAATTAGAAAAATAGCTTTAAAGCTAAGCTTTAAAGCCCATGCAGAACATCTGACAGTGGGGAATGCCAGCGGAGAGGTAAACCAGGCAGAGAGAAGAGCAAGCAAAAGCATGGACACAAGAAAATACGACTCTGTTAGGGGGAAACCATAAGTTTCATTTGAATGCAGCAGCATGCATGAGGACAAAGGAAAAATCAGATTGGAAGAGAAGATCAGGCCTCAAATGTCATCCTAAGAAATCTAGAATTTATCCCATAGAAAACTGGGGAGCTACTAAAGGTATTAGGAGAGTTGATCATTATCAACCATGAGATCAACAGAAGGAAGAATTAGAAGGCAGGGAGACCAAGATGCAAACAACTGCTGGGGTCTAAGAGGTTCTAAACTAGGGCAGTGATAATGAAAGCAGAAGGAGGGACATATGCAAAAGACACTGCAGAGAGATAGGAGGCATTCAGCACACACAATAATGTCCATTTGCCTGCTCTCTGGTCATTGCCTATAATCCTACTCTCACTGGCACTCCCTCAAAAGTACACTCTAACAAATCAGCACAACTCTGTCATCAGAAATGAGAAAAACGGGGCTGGCCCATGGCTCACTTGGAAGAGTGTGGTGCTGATAACACCAAGGCCACGGGTTCAGATCCCCATATAGGGATGGCCGATTAGCTCACTTGGGAGAGTGTGGTGCTGTCAACATCAAGTCAAGGGTTAAGATCCCCTTACCAGTCATCTTTCAAAAAAAAAAAAGAAAAGAAATGAGAAAAACAATCTAGAAAGTTCATTCTTCACTGACCCAAGGTACATATTATCAAGAAAACATACAAGAGTGGCAATTCATCAACAGAAATAGTGAAGTACTTTATGGAGTTTACTGTCTTCATTTGGATCATTCTTCCAACTTAATATAGGCTTAAATTCAAATTCCAACTTAATCAACTTACAAAAATTTCTTAAACATCTACTAGGTTCCAGGCATTGTGCCGGACATGTTCTGGGTATGTTAAAACAATGACCAAAATATTAATAATAACAACCACAATAGTAATAATAATACTCCCTCCTCCTCCTCCTCCTCACAGTCTCTACCTTCAGGAAGCTCAAGTCCAGATAGAAAAATATATAAACAATTACAATACAGTGTGCTAAGTGTAGCATAAAGTGTGTGAACACAGAGCACGGCAACTAATCAACCTAGAAGTGTGGGAGAGGATTCAAAAAGTTTCTCATGTATGATATTTGTCTTGGAAAATGATTAGGAATTTGCCAGTCAGTAAAAGGGAAGAAAAAGTCATGACGCGCTAAAAGAAAACTCATGCAAAGAACACAAACCATGAAGACAACACAAAAAGTTTAGTGATTTCCAATAATTTAAGGTGGTTGAGGAGTACATAATACAGGTGTGTTGGGGGTGAGGAGGAGGGTGGAAGAGGGGAGCAGTTATAGAGAAGTAGACAGAGACGAGAAAATATGGAAGGATCTTGGATGTTATGTTAAACAGTTAAGATATTATGGCAGATATTACTACTTAAGTTCCAACATCTATATTTCCCTCCTAACTTAGAAACAGAACTCATTTTTAGTTAAGCATGTGGTTAGCAAGAATACATATTACATTTCTGAGTCCCTCTTAGCAGCTAAGGTGCCATATATCTTAAGTTCTGGGCAATATGATGCAAGCAGAATTGCAGTACACAACTTCCAAAAAAATTTCCTTAAAGAAAGGAAACACTTTCTTCTTTATCTTTCTGCATTCAGGCTGACTAGAATGCAGAGGTGATGGCTAGAATCTAAGCAGCCATCTTGGACCAAAGAAACCACATACTAAATGTAAAGCTAAGATAAAAGGAATCTGCATCTCTGATTAAGTTTATAAAGCCACTCTACTAGATCAGGTTACCTACCTCCAGACTTATCTGAGAAAAATAAATTCCCATCACAATTAAACTATTGTTCTTTTGAGTTTTCTCTCACTGTCAGCAGAACTTAATTCCAACTGATCCAATAGGGAATCATAGAAGAATATTAGAGGACAGGCAAGATCACAAATGAAAGGAGGACAAGATTAAAATAGGGAGACCATTTAGGAAGGTATTTTGGAAATCTAGGTAAAAATTCTCCATATTATTAACTTGGATCAAACTGGCATTGGGCCGGCCCGGTGGCGCACTGGATAGTGCGCCGCTTGGGAAGCGCGGCTGGCGCTCCCGTCCGAGGGTTCGGATCCCACATACAGACCGGCTCCCGCTCACTGGCTGAGCGAGGCGCGGGAGCAACACCGAGGTTTGCAATCCCGTTGCCGGTCCCCGGTCCGGTACGGGGGCAACACTGAGGGTTGCGATCCGTTGCCGGACACGGAAAAAAGACAAAAGACAAAAAAAAAAAACAAAAAAAAAAAACCTGGCATTATATGAGAGCTTAGAATCCTTTTCTCATATTCTCATATTACTGCCTATCTTACAAATTATTTAAATAGCTCAAATGAGATAATGTACATAAGCGTGCTTTGAAAATTATAAATTATTAAACTATTATAAATGCAATACATGGATATTATGCACAACTAGAAAACATTTTAATTATGGTGTCTTGCCCAAAATAATCTAAAAGTCATTAAAAGTAAGAAATCTCCATTTTATAGTCAAATGAACAGAGTGAAACTCTAAGCTTTCAACTGTAAGAGGAAACTGGCCTGCTTGAAGTTTCGCAGATGAAAGGAAAATAACCTGTCTCTCTGCATTCATTCATTAGCAACAGCATGAATCTCAAGATAACTGTTTCCTGAATCTGGTTAGATTTAGACTGGGATGTTCATCTCTGCGCCATGGTAAAATACAGCACTACTTAGCAATGAAGTGATGTTGGTATGAGACAGAAGATACTTCTTCACATTAATTATTTTCTCAAAGCACTCTTAAACGTTAGTCTCTATTATCACACATAATCATACTAAGATAGCAATTTTCACAATATACATTTCTCAATTCACATTTCTCAAAAGCAGTACCTTTTATCCTCATATCCAGTCTAAAGCTGAGATACATTTTGTAAAAAATGAATGATGATTATTTCATTCAGTTCTTGAGGACAAAGACACCATTTTCAAAATTTTAAGATATGATTGCAACATATCACTTCACTGAACAAGATTATTTTAGAACCTGCTATAAAACAATTTAATTACCTTAATTTAAATATAAAGACATGTATTCTTTGAATACTTACTTTCAACAAAATATCCACAATTCGCTGTTGATATTCCACAGCTTGCTTGTCATTTTTGAAATCTTCAAAAGTCTAAAAGGGAGAAAGAAATTTTATAAAGTAATTATTATTTGAAAATTTTGGAAGGAAATAAGTTACTAAATTCTTGTTAACAAAATCCAAGTGAATTCCCAAATAACATACACTCCTCACTAGGTTTTTTCTTATACACCTTTAATGATAAGTTACTTTTAGTGAGTCAAGTAAAAAGGCATACCATTTAATAATGCATGGTATTCTGAGAGTTTAAAAAATCAATCAGAAGTATAAAAATACAGTGGTTATCACACAACCAAAACATGGCTTGAGGAAGAAAGTAATTCAAAGTCTATAGAAAAATGAGAAAATGAGAAAGAACACTAATGGCAAGAGGCAAATAGGGAGCAAAGGTTTGGGAACAGAAGGATGAAATGCCACTGAATGATGCTCAGCAATCATTCAGTCTATGTAATTTGGAAATAAATGAAATTCAGTTTATTAACTGTAATGAAAAATAATTTTCATGATTTCCAAATTAAGAAAAAATGATGTTCAGAAATAGGCTTTTTAAAAAATTATGATAAAAGTGTTGAAATGTTAAAATTCTTAAGCCTGCTAACAAGGTATCCTATTCTCAAAACATTGCTAAGTACAGCATTTTTTATTTTAGGTTCCTTCTCAAGTAGAGCCAGTGTATTCTGAATATAACATGCATCACAGTAAATGACACACCAGATTCTGTTTGGCAATATATAATAACAGCATGTCACAAAAATACCTAGTACATACAGGATGCATATATGAAGGAATTGAAATTATGTCCACTATCCAAAAATTGAAATAAAAATATTTACTAAATAATAAGAATGATAAGACTTGAAGATCTCTCCTATGGTTTTCACTTAGTGCATTTGGTTCTGAGAAATGTTTAAATTGACATAGCAATAATTTACTGCTCTTTTCTTAAAACAAGAAAATGACTTACATATTAGCCCAACAGATTAAAAAAAAAATGGGGGGGGGTGTGAATTTCACAGCCATGAACTTTCAAGACTACATCATAGTTCTATCTATTCAAACCAGAATATTTGCTGTTCTTTAAATGAGCCCTGAATTTCCCCAACTTCGCTGAAGAACCTTTGCTCATGCTGTTCTCTTATTAGCATGTTTTCCCTTCTTTCTCCTATCTGGCAGGTGCTTAACAAATGACTGTTGAATTGCTTAGTTAATTATTTACAGAGAAAAATAAAATATTTTAAACTTTTTTTCCAACTAGTCTGCTTTGCTGCTAGTTAGTTGGGAAATGCTGACATGAGTTACCAAGTAGATTGTAGGAACTCTTAATCTGGAAGGTTCAAATAGAAGACATTTTGATGTCAAATATGGGTGGGTTAAATATGATCCTGCCTGAAGACAGGAAGATAGACTAGAACATCTCTCAGTTCTATCTTCTGGTTTATGAGAACAACACACACACACACACACACCTACCTGCCTTATGAGAACAACACACACACACACACACACACACACACACACACACACACACACACACACACACACACACACACACACACACACACACACC